CACATGGCCTACCGAGACGCTGATGAGTCGGGCCACGCGGAGGTTTAGGGTTTAGTGGGTATTAGGTGCTCTCCTCAAGACCCTGGAGTCCCACACACGCCGTTGCTCGGGCTATGGTATGGTGCGTAAATGCATTCCCCCATCACTAAAAAAAAAAAAAAAAAATCCACTTTTCCTCTAAAGCGGCAAAAAGTTCATCCTTGTTTGAATAATTTTTATCTCGTATTTCTGCTAACACGAAACTGTATTAAGCTAATGTTGAAAAGAATTTGTCTACATATATTTGTCCCTCATAAGAAAGTGCTTATATTCAAACTTGTTTGTGTTCATTGCAGATAATGTAAAAACAAGGAATTTAGTTTTTCTACTAATAACGCATTTGTTTATGGAACAATGAAGTATAAATTCGTTTTCTAAAGGTATTTAGGTAAATATTCATATTTGTCTATATACTTTTGTCCATTACTGTAGATGCAAACCATCCTCCACGATTGTCTGGCCGCCAAGTTAAGCCACATATTCTTGAAATACTGCTTCTGATTGCCTTTTTCAAGTACAGTTGATTATTCTCAAAATATATGTGGTTTTATTCAGTAGCCAGGCAAATATGGAGAATTATTGGTAGGAAAATCACAGGATAAGTTTCAAATGTTACATAGATGCAAAAATATAACATTCTTATGAAATTCGGAAAAGCCTTGGCACACACCATGGCAAGACTTGATTCAGGCATTTTTTGAAAGTAGGATTTTTTCCAAATTCCAAAAGCGGCGAGGAAGTATTGTAATCGCGACAAGTTTCCTAAATGAGATGTTATATTTTTTTGATGTTATAGGAGATATCACGTAAAACCGTGTCATTCATTTTCGTTGGCCTGTCAGTTGGTGTTTGTCGGTCTGTCGGGCTTTCCGCTAATTTGTAAATTTCCATTGTGGCGGCGAAGAACGAAGCCAAAAACATATGAGTTGCTCAAACTTTGATGCTTCAGAGAATCCTCATCATCTTGAAAAAATGGTGTATCGCAATTTCTTGGGGGCAGTATATCCATAAACTTCTAACTGTAGTAGTTCTACGAGCCTAGTAGGCATATGTCACCCATATATTACCCCGTATATTTGCTCTTAAAATGATATATATATATTTTGTATATAAAGTCTAGTAGCCGCTGCAATTGCAGTATTATCTGTTGAATATTAACAAGCAGATAGTGTGACAACATCACGATGTATTTATTCAGGTATGAAATAACGAATAGCCTCCACCAGTCTTCTGTGAATATGAAGATCTCATCTATTTTTAGTACCTCTTTCTCAAACAAGTACCAGGGCGTACGAAAGTTGACCTCGATTATTATTTCAAAAACAAAATTAAACTCGCAATGCTTTTTCTCCAATCTTGTTCAATATATCACATGACCATCTGTAAGGGTTTTCATACCCGACTAATAGTAAACGTACCGAAATGTAAGAAGGCTGACTCAACATACCGTATTTCAAGCCTATAACTTCAATTTACGCCAAATGACAATGTGTTTTTTCACTAATATTCATTCCACTCTACGGCCTTATGCGAGGGTACAAGGATTTCTATAGCTGACAAACAATAAATATACCAGAGCGTACAAAATTTGACTCAGATACTATGATGCATATACAAAGTTCATTTGTCCTGTATTGCGTGAGAAGTATATAGACAGTCAACCTACTTTACGCCATTTTTTCGATCCATCTAACTTTCACTCACGTTTGGTTGAAAATGTTCACTTTTCTCATGTTTGTCGCCATCGCCGTACATAGCCTAGTTCATTTTCGGAATCAGATCGCATCATGCGTGTTGACATCGTAACGGTATCAAGTCCAAATCCAATCATCCCCTTTGCGGGGAAATACATTTTGAATTTCCTGCTCGTAGTTCGATGTGCAACCGTCGTATCGCACGAGTATTCTGTCAGCGAGTATGCCCAAATTTTAAATAGTAAACACAAACCACGATGACGCATCGTTCTAATTCGAAATGTTCCACTTCTCTTCAGTAACAAATATTGCGAAAAATCATGTAATTTCAGTGAGTCTGTTTGGCCGAAAATTCAGTGACAGAAAAAATTAGAAACTGGGAAAATGCAAATTAAATTGATTTTTCAGTATGACTAAACACAATAGATAATCGACGGGTCCTCCTCTTCATCCCACAATGTCAACGGGGATCGTCTTGGCTCCTCCTGCATATCAACGAAGTCCTTTGCTATACGATCAATCTGATCAGATCACCGAGGACTTGATCTGGCACGAACATATCTTGTCAATAGCGGCAACTGCTAGGAAAAAGCCAGGCTATTTGTTTATGGCTAAGAAGTACTTTTCTCCACATCACCTCCTCACTCTGTATAAGGCTCACATAAAACCAGACCTCGAGTATTGCTCACATCCATGTTTAATGCTGATAAGAGAAGGGTTTTCCAATCGATGACTCTTCTCTAACGGACTGTCTCGGAAACCTTTCGCACCGGCGATCAAGTTCTCTTCTACCGCCACGCCAATGGGCGTTGCTCCTCCGAGGCCTCCGTCATGATTCCGCTGCACAAAGTCCCTGCCAGACGTACCCGCCTGACTTCGACCTCCCATCTTAACCATATCGAACTTCGTACATCCACAACTGTCAGATAAGACAGCTCCTTTGTTTCTAGGGTATCAAGATTATGTAAAATCTGCATAAGGAGGCTTTTTCCAGTTCTACTAACCTTAAAGATTTCAAAAATCGTATAAACAAAGTTTACTTAGCTCCTCATAGCACACGCGGGGCCCTGGCATTCAGGCTTTGCCAGCGGGGCTGTTTGGGTGCAAAAAATGTAAAACGTTTAAACGACATTTTTAGGCATTAGAGTGAATTTCAATTCATTGAGTACGGTTGAGGAAATTAGCAGACAGTCAATTCTGGTAACTAGTAGCCTTCAATAAGCAACGTTGCTCATTCGGTCATGTTACGATATACATATACGAGCCCCTTCCCACTTCAGTTGGCGCAACTATTGAAATCTTAGTTTTTCTCTTATCAAACACAAATAATAAAAATGTAGCAGGGTGTTATAGGTTTAAAATATTAACAATGAATATTTTGATAATATATAGTAGAAAACACCAACTACATCACTCCCTAATCGAATTTGCAGCATAAAAATAACACATGTTGCAATTACAGCATATCAACCTATTTTCATTTCAATGCAAAATAAGTCTATAACGCATAGTTGGCTGTGAAAAATAAAAGCCATGCCAATTGGTTTTATTAATCACAGCTGTCAGAATACGTTTAAAATAGTTTTGGGTAGTTAAGGTTTTCAAAATGGGTAGAGGAAAGGTTATTAGTGAGAGAATTCGGTTACTGATAATTAAATTTTTTAATTCTGGGAAATCAAACTCATAACTTGCAACCTTGTTAGACTTATCGCGATACAGTGCGAGAAATATTGTTAGAAGATATAACGTAACTGGTTCAGTTAATATTAAGCCACGATATGTGAAAAAAAGTAATATCATAAATGCCGACCGAAGAGCATTAAGAAGAATAATCGTGAAAAACAGGCATGTCAATTATTTAAAATTAAGTGCTCTGTGGAGTGACGCTGTTGGAAGGAGAACTTCGAGGTCCACAACTCATAGAGAGGCCCACAAACTGGGATTTAGCACTTGCAAGGTAAGTTTTCTGATAAAAAAAGGTGAAGTAAAAACACAAAGTTGCACAACTTGTTTATAGGCCAAAGAAAAGCCACTATTAACTCCACTGCAAAAGAAAAATCGGCTTAGATGGGCTAAAGAACATAGACAATAAACACCTAAACAACAATGCTGTGCAATACAATAGAGTGATGAGGCTTGATTCGAAGGTTGTGTTGGTGACAGTCGCAGTAGAGTTATTCGCAAAAAAAAGCATTCCATGCTGACTGTCTGAAGAGAAAAGTGAAATTTCCAGCATTCATTATGGTCTGGTGAGTATGTCATCAAAAGGAGTAGGAAAACTTAATTTTATTGATGGAAATGTGGATACAAACAAATGTTTGGTTTAGAAGAATCGCTTTTACCGGTGATGGAAGAATGTTTGACATCCGGCCAAGATTTTGTGTTTCAGCAAGATGGTGCAGCGTGCCATATCTCAAAAAAGGCTATCAAACGGATGGAAGAAAATAATGTACCACTTTTAAAATGGGTCTCTAGCAGTCCAGATCTGTCACCTATTGAAACTTTGTGGCACGAGATGAAAAAGGTTCTACGACAACATCCTGCTCGTACAATCACCGAACTGGGACAAAAGCTTCAAGAAATATGGGATTGTTTTACACCAAATTTTTGCCAAAACTTGGTTAACACTATGCCACACAGAATTTGAGCCGTAATAAAAAATAAAGGTGATGTTACCCAATGGTAATCTTTCAATTGTTGCTTTGTTAACTTCGCGCATTTATTCGCACATTGTTTATTTGTTCAGATGTTCTATTAGTTATAGATGTATTTTTACAACTAGAGTGTATCTAAAATGTTTATTAGAAAATAAATTGTATTAGAAGTAAATAGTTTCGTCATGTTTAGTTTATAAAGGCATATTTTGGTACAAATCTTGAAGTGGGCCAACTGAAGTTGGAAGGGGCTCGTAGTGACCTCATAGTAGGTGATAGTATTCATAATCCATACACTGGAGGCGAAGTAATTAATCTTTAATGGAAATATCAAAGTTTTTCCAGTCTTCCGTTTTAGGGAGTAGTCAAAGGAGTTTTTGGAATTTTTACAATTTCAAGCTTCATTTCTGATGCATTTCTTTACTTCTGATTTGGTTGGAGAGGTCAACATTTTTTGTTTTCTCGAGCTTCTGATCTCTTCAGTGAGGCTAAAAGTTGGTTTTGCAATGTGTACATTTTTAAACTGTTTATTATTTTATCCCAAAATATATTACATATTTTCATCAGTTTGGATCAATGGATATGATGCTTATTTGTCATCTCATAATCATACCAACCACTTCCTCGACTTTGATGAAATGGGAGCGATAGGTTCTTTGTCTATTTCCAGCGCCACACTGCCATATCTGTTTTCAAAATGCAAAAAGCCTATACTAAAAACAGTATCTTTAATAGCTCATCAATTTATAGAAATGTTTTAGATATTAGTTTTGAGGGTTCAATACTCAATAAATCCATACCCTGAAACGTGATTTCTAAAATGTGTTTTCCTTGTATACTCCACAACTTTTAGATCGTTTTTTTTTTTTTTTTTTTTAACATATAATTGGCATTGGAGTTATCCATTTGCCACAGATGTGTGTTACTTATATTTCTCTAATTATGGACAAACACACGACGTCACAACATCCATGGCGAAGGCGAGATTCGAACTCGCGGCCCGGCCGACCGGCTGATCAGTAGCACGACACTCTGACCAACGCGGCCAACCGAGGCCCCACTTTTAGATCGTGAATTTATAGGAGAAGGGATCTGCATTTCTAAACAACAGCAAAGCAGCCAGCTGGTATTGTCAGTTATTCTAGAAATTCAATTTGAATTTTAAACTGCCTAGAGGGGTGGTAGGTAAGGTGTATGTTTCGAGGGTAAATATATAAACGTAAATGGAAATTGCGTATTGTAAAAATTTATAATTTGAACATAGAGGGAGAATCAAAGGTGAGGATTTGACTACTTAAGCACTGTGCAAGTTGTTCACCTAGGCTTGTGTTTTAACTTTTTTTGGGAAATTATAAAAATAGGGTATCCGCCAAGATTTGTCACATTTTCTCCTAAAAAATATAGCTTTGATCTTGTAATAATTTTTTCGGATTGGATTTTATCTGCTTCCCTTGAGTGGCAAGCCCTAAAATGACTAATTTAGTCGTCCCACCATCTAAGCAGCAGCTATTACAACTTCGTAATGTTGCGTTATTTTTTTTTTTTTTATACTCCAACTACCACGGAGGCATAAGGCCTAAGCACCCATTGGGTACCGTGGGGCTATGGGGGATACATGGGAAAGGGGGGACGCCACACGGACTCTGGCGAGGGAACACGTGTGCATGCAACATGCACACATTCTGGCTCCGCCTACGAGAACCGCCGGGTGGTACCTCCGCGTTCGACAGTCAGAGACCATCTATCACCTACGGACAATCACAACATCCATGGCCAAGAGAAACATTTCTCCTGGGACGGGACTCGAACCCGCACAGCGCACGGCGGCTGATCAGGAGACCGAAGGGTCTACTACTGCGGCCACCGCTGCTGCCTAAAACAAACACACAACATCCATGGCGGAGGCGAGATTCGAACTCGCGGCCCGTCCGGCCGGCTGATCAGTAGCACGACACTCTGACCCACGCGGCCAACCGAGGTCCCAAATATATATATATATATTGCGATCTCGGTTATTTCGTCGGTAGTCGATCTTCACTAATTTGCGAGATACGTGTACTGTAGAATTGTATATATTCCTCTTGAAAATGTAAATGTCCTTCTTAGACCTTGAGAGTCCCCGATGCCTCATAATTGAGTCCCTGAAGGGGATAAGGAAAATTGGCCGTACCGAAAAACAGCTGCAAACCTTTGACATGGAGTATCTTCTCATCGAAAGCTGAGGCATAATAAAGGAATGATTTGAATTGAGGCCATGAGACAAAGGAAACTCTGCGAAGCAATTGTCGAAAGCTATACCGTCTCGATGAATGCTGATTTTACCGGTACATTTTAAATTGGTACTTAGCTGGAAAAGGGAATATCTCCATAAATGAATATTTTCAATCATTTCGGCGTTGATCTTTTCTCAAACTTTTTGGTAAATCGCATTTCGACCCCTCAAATAAAATCTGCATTATTTGTAACAGAAAATTTTACCTCCCTCATACAAATTTGTTAATAACAAAGTTAGAAATATATGGCTCTAGAGGCTAGAGGTCATCTATTAAAGCTATTCTACTCTCATCTATATGACAGAAAGCAGTGTGTTGAGGTACCCGGGGCTGTATCCGATTTAGAGGAAATTTGCTTTGGGGTGCCACAGGGTTCAATATTGGGCCCTTGCCTTTTTATAGTACACCTTAATGACTTATTTCATCATCAGCCTTTGAGTAGCATATGCCGATGAGTCATCACTAGTATGTGCAGACCGTAACATAGCTGTGCTCGAAATAAGAGCTACTCTCAGTTTTAGTCTAATCATATTGGCAAATTTCCAGGAAATAATTGTAAAGTCCGGTTTTACTGGTGCAAGTTGTTCAAGGGAGTATTTAAAACATGGACGAATAAAATCGGTACACCAATTTTTGTGGTAAATTTTTTTATTTGACAACAAATCAATCTCGAGATTGTGAATTTTCATGAAAAATCCGATGTATGTAGGTATATAAGAGCTTTCTTATATTTGTTAATCAATTTAATGATACAACACATCTGCCAAAGATGATCATAATCAGTATAGTAAACTATGACGAAGGTCCACTGTATGTAAGAATTTTCAGATGCTTCATTTGCAATTTGACAACAGACCATGATGGTTTTCACACTTACACAAATACCCTTCAAGAAGTGTTATCAGTCTAGCTCCAAGTATCATAAGTACTATGTCTGTGTTCCTACTTTAAATTCAAAACCAGCAAATGTAAAAGATTCATTTCGCACCCTCCACCGACGTGATCGTCGTTAGACTTTGCAACCCTGCCAGTGATAGATAGATATCTCCGCCAGTCAAAAAGGCAATCAAACAATAAACATTATCAGTTTTTATGATTTTTGGACGTAAAATACATTATTTGCGAGACATTTTTCATAATGTTTTGTCTATGTCCATAGTAATTGCATTATGCATCACGGAGATGTAGAGATTGATACGTCTTACACATATTATCTGTGTTTTAGGATGGAGAGGACAATGTTTTTATTGCTTTAAAGAAATTCATTAACCCATATTATAATAAATGATTGCTATTATGATGTAAAGGAAGATGAGGAATTGGTTGGAATGTGATTTATATTCTATTTTTCTTGCAAAATACAGACAAATCCACACTATTCAACAGGTATGTAGCAATAATGATAACACTCGGTATATTGAAAATACAGGTTTTGGCACTTGTTGGTAATGCGACCATAATTTCACGCACTTACTTGAAATTCTTCAAATTTGTAAGATTCATACTTCTAAAAAACAACAACAAAATTGGATTATATTGGTCTAGTAGTTTTTTAAGAATTTCTAATTGTTTATCCCAAAACACCTGTTTTCCGCCAGCACTCCTAATTTATTGAGCAATACGAGTTTGTTCCAAGAGCATTTAATAGCAAAATACACGTGTTTACCCTGCCGATATGAATCACAAACCAGTCCGAAAGATAAATCTTATTTTTATACGAAAAACAACGGTTGCGTTTTTTTCTTAAAAACAAATTCAAACATTTCGTATTTGTGAGTAACTAAAAAATGCGCTACGATATTCAAAAAACATACGTTACTACACACATGTTAAAACAAAGCGGATGTGTCTATCATATCTTGTTGCGAATTACTCACAAATACGAAATGTTTAAATTTGCTTAGAAGAAAAAACGCAACCCATTCTTTTTTGCATAAAAATAACATTTTCCTGCCAGAATAGTTTGCAATTCATATCGGCAGGGTAAACTAGTGTACATTGCTATAAAATGCCCTTTGAACTAACACTGTATATTGCTTAATAAACTAGTAGTGATGGCCGGAAAACAGGTGTTTTAGGATAAACAATTAGGAATTCTCAAAAACTACTTGACCAATCTACTCCAATTTTCTTGTGATTACTTAACTTACTACGAATTTGAAGAATTTCAAATATCTGCGAGAAACCATCGTCGCATTACCAACAAGTGCCAAAACCTGCAGTTTGCCTCGGTTTTCCGCCATAACTTTTTTGCTATTAGTCGAATCGTTTTACATGTGGTCTCATTTTGTAGGTCTTATAAATAGCTAAAAATCTTATACAAAGAGCTTTTTCGTTCCTGCCATTACTTTCGATTGAATCCCAATAAACACGTTTTCTAATTTTTTGACGTCGAATGAAAAGTATTCCCACAAAGATTGGTGTACCCATTTTATGCGTCTATATTTTGAATACCCCCTTGAACAGCTTGTAGCAATAAAACCAGGAGATTTTTGTCTAATATAATTAGACTATTTAGAAAAAGCAATCGAATGGTTCAAATCTAATTACCTAAAACTAAACGCAGACAAGACTGAAAATATGACCTTATCCACTAGTAGGTCCGTAACGATGGGTAGAAATACTAGAATCCTTGGAATATTTTAAGATGACTCTCTAAACTAAGCTCATCACATTGACTCGCTTTTTTTCTTTTGCAAAAATTGAAATCACAGGTTAGCCTCTAAGTATTAAAAAGTTGTTACTTCGGGCTAATTCATTCACAGCTTAGCTATTATTATACATTATATGGTAGTTCTAGTAAAATAAATAAGCTATCCATCATTCAGAAGAAAGTCATTAGAATCATGATCCGCTTAGGATATTACGATTCTTTAAAAATCTCGTAATAATGCCTGTCCCAACATTATTTATGTATGCTACTTTAATACATATAGATATACATTTAAATATGAATAACTAGTTCACAAATTCTAACTTCCACAGTTACCAGACTAGATCATCTGATAACTTGAGGATACCCAAATTCTCACTATCGATATCAAAACAAAAGTACCCACGTTTAGATCCGTACAATCATGTACCAGCATGTATTCTTTAACTCAATATAGTTAGTTCACTTTAAACATGTTTAGAAGAAATTTATGAGTAGACATTGTTTTTATTCCATAAGTGAATATTTTAGTAGAAAGCTAGAAAAAATGCCCACAATGTCCACAAGAAAGGCGGAGATTCAACAATAGCTCCTATCAAAAGATATTGGTTTCAATGGAAATATTAATGTTATTGACGAAATGGCTAAAACCCAAAATAAGACCGATTCTCGATACCCTATGCATAAAGGAATGAACGAACATCGGCCAGTTATCGATGTGGAGAGTTCGACCAGGTTAGACCGAGAAGCAGAAGTTTGTAGAGTCCTTGAAGCAGGACCAA